TTGCACGATATTCTAATTTTTCGAGTTTCACCTGTATATACTCACAGATAAGCCCATCTGCGGATAAGCCAAAGCCAATTTTTTGGGGTGTATTTTGGCACCTAAAATTCTTGGCTTATCCGCAAATATACACGGTATTTAATTCGGACTTTGGAATCAGCTCAGAAAATTGATCTGTTCCAGTTCAGGCATTCAAGCTGATGAAATGAATTAGGAGTTTTGAAACGGTTCAGTAAAAGTTCTTTTATATGTGTGTTTTAATTGATTCCAGAGCATCCAATTCTGTTTGAGGCTTCAAATCCATTTGGAACTTCCATGCACAAATCTGAACCACCTTTGAATCAAATTTTTGATTGCATCTTCACTCAGCCCTAATACACAGACACCCTGGAATAAGATGGGGCTTGGAAATCTGGGAGATGAGAGATTCCTATGGCCTTTGAAAGTATAACAGTGGGAGGACTAAGACAAAAAGAAAAATTGATACAGGTAGTCCTCGACTTACAATCATAACTGGAACTGGAACTGGAACTGGAACTTCCATCACTAAGTGATGTGGTCATTAAGTGAGTTGTGCCTGATTTTACAACCTTTTTTGTTATGGTCATTAAGTGATGTGATCATTAAGTGAATCACACGGTTCCCCATTGACTTTGCTTGTTGGAAGCCCCCTGGGAAGATCGCAAATGGCAATCCCACGACCCTGGGATGCTGCAACTATGGTAAATACATGCCGATTACTAAGCACCCGAATTTTGATCACATGACTGCGGGGACACTGCAATGGATGTAAATGCAAGGACTGATCATAAGTCACTTTTTTCAGTGCTGTCAAATGGTTGCTAAACAAATGGTCGTAAATTGAGGACTACCTGTTTAGCATTCCAAATTTGTTAGAATTATGTCCTGCCTTTCCTCCAGGAGTTCAAGGCAGTACTTTGAATACCTACTACCCTTTCCTCTAATATTTTCCCCACAACAACCAGCCTGTGAGGTAGGTTAGGCTTGCATGGGGGGAGAGAGAGAGAGAAACTGTCTCTAAGTCAGCTTCCATGTCTGGGGGTGGACCAGAATCTGGGTCTCCTCAGCCGCAGTCCAACACCTTCATCGTTCCATCACAC